AGTTGTTTTTTTTTTTTTTTAAACTACCGCGAAAAACGGGAAATTTAGGGTTACAGAAAAAAAATTCGTTTGTCGTGAAACAAAAATAAACAAACAAACAAACAAACCTGTTTATAAAATTATAATGATGATAATAATAATAATAATAATAAAAGAATCGTTTCGAACGTTTCCGTTTGTTTAAATTAAAAAAAAAAAAAAAAAAATTGATTTTATATTAAATTATATAAAGCGTCGTCGTCGTCGTGGTTGTAGTCGTAATCGCCGTGGTTTTTAGTCGTGATAAATAAATATAAAATTGATTTTATTTACTTTAAAACTAAAAATTAATTTTTTTTTTTTCCGTTATAAAATACGCATACGCATATCCGATTATATGTAACATAACGATACTTGATGATGATAATAATAATAATAATAAGGAATCTCACCTAGATAAGTTGCGGAAATGTGCCGTAAGGTATTCAAATGCTAATAATAATAATAATAATAATAATAATAATAATAATAATGGATTCACGTATATAAATTGCCATCTTTGTAATTGTAACAACCTACAATTGTGAGTTTACACACACACACAAAAAAAAAAAAAAATTAAATATCAGGTTCAACGACGGGGTAACAACCATTTATTTAAAATGAAATACCTGATTTTTTTTTTTTTTAAGTTTTGAGGGAAATTTTATTTTTTGAGTTTTTTTTGTTTGTAACGTTTTATTATTATTATCGTCGATTCTTCATTTTTTTTCTTTGTGATTTACATTTCGTGTTGTTGTTGTTGTTGATTATTATTATTATTAACGATATTTATATATATTGTGGTTGGTAACGACGTTAAAGTATTTGAGTAGGTTTTTTTTTTTCTCCAGTAGTATGGAATTTATTTATTCCATGTACTTTTATAATACATTTTTAAAAGTGTAAAAAAATCGCGCCTAAAGTGTTGGTGTGTTTGTGTGTGTGAGTTGGTAACCTGTTGGGATATCCCTTATACCCTTATTAGGACCCACCCATATTCCCTTTTTTTTTTTTTTTTTTTTTTTCTCTTCACCTTTCTTCTTCTTCTTCCCTTTTATTCTCACGGTTTAACCCAACGGATTTTTCTTTTAACGTAAAAAAAAAAAAAAATTTATTTGAATACAAAAATACCTTCTTTTTTTTTCCCCGAGTGTTTGTAAAACCCATTAATCAACAGTTTTAGCAAAACAATAAGTAATTTTATTATTATTATTATTATTATTATTTTATACTTTACTGTTCCCCCCCCCCCTCTGTCTCTCTCCCTTTGTCTTTTTTATTCTTTTCCTTCCTCCCTCTCTTTTTACGATATGTTACTTCCGGAATTTTTTTTTTTTTTTATACAATCCCCGCACAGAAGTATGTACGAGTATTTAAAAGGAAAAAAGAGGGATTTCGTTTGTTTGTTTGTTTGTTTGGTCTTTTGTTGTTTGATCAAAATGGTTTTTTTTTTTTTTTTTAAATTCTCTCTCACTCTCTCTCTTTCTTTTTTTCTTTCTCTTTTTCTTTCTCTATCGTATCTTTAAGTTAATAATATAAAAGTGTGATGGTAGAGAGAGAAATTTTGTTGTTGTTGTTGTTTGTATGTTTGTTTGTGTGTGTGTGACTAATTATAGACTATAAATACTTAATGGTCGGCTATGGAAACAAACAAAAAAAAAAAAAACGTATTACCTAAAATAGTAAAAAAAAGAAAATTAATTCGTATGAGGTCAATCACGATTTTTTGGTTTTTTTTTGGGGGGTAGGGGGGGCATATATGCTGCATCTGAAAAGTTAATTTTTTTTTTTTTTTTTAAATTTTCATTTGATTTAATTTTTTTTTTCTTCTCTTTTTTTGTTTTTATAGTCACGCACAGGGCGCGTTGTTTCACACAAAAATCATGTTTTTCTTTTTTTTTTTTTATTTTCTGTCCGAAAAAAACAATGATAATAATAATGATAATAATAATATTTTTTTAGGTAATTTTTTTTTCGTTTTTTCGTTTCGTTTCGTTTTGTTTGTTGTTTTTGGCAAAAAAAAAAAAAATTAAATTTACCGTATTATTATGCATAAATTAATAGAATGTGTGCGTGTGTGCGTGCGTGCGTGCGTCTAAATTAATTTCGAAAAAAAAAAAAAAATTTGTATATCCGGTTCTAAACGCTGATAAAAAAAAAAAAAAAAAATTCTAGAAATTTTTTTTATCCTAAATAAAGTGGTGAAGTCGCCATTACGAAAACAATTTATTTGTTTCGTTATTGCCTAAACAGTTTTTGTAGGGGGTTAACACGTTTTTATAATGCTTGGTTATTATTATTATTATCATTGGGAAAAATTCGATTAATTTTCCGGTTCTTTCCTCTTCACCCATTTTCTCTTTTTGCATCCTTCCCTTCCCCCTCCCCCTTTCCCTCCCCCCCAGAAAAAAACATTTATTAATTGCTCTTGTAGCCGACCCGGTATACACAAAAAATAAATTTTTTTTTTTTTAAATAAATTAAATTTATTAATTTTTTGGCGCCAAAAATTTTTATATCATAATGGCGACGATGAAAAAAAAAATTTTTTTTTGTTTTTTTTTTGTTACGTATTATGTACGGTTTGCCAAATTTTTAAAAAAATATTTTCGGGGTGTTTTTTTTTTTTTAATTTATTAATAAAGTCATTAATAAATAACGCGTACGAGTAAATATTTTCAAAACGTTAATGTTTATGTTTGTTGTTGTTGTTGTTGTTTCGTGTTTTGTGTTGGAATTTTTTTATTAAATTTACGACGTGAAAAAAATTTAGCGTTATTATTATTATTATTATTATTATTATTGGTCCTGTTATCATTTTATTGAACGCTGTTGTTTTCTGTTTTAAGCTTCGTTCTTGTAAAATTGCAAAAAATATGAAAAAAAAAATTTAGATTCGATTGTCGATTTAAATTTTTTGGCGGTCGTCATGTTTAAATTCTGGGACGTTAAAAAAATATTCCAGAATTCCAGTTGTGATTTCTGTTAAAATGTTGACAGACGGTTGACGGTTGAAAAAAATTCACGGGATTCCCCGTACAAGTAAAAGTTTTCTCATGTGTGTGTGCGACAGTGGGCGTAGACACCATTAAACACCGGGGTTTCGTAAAACTTTTTTCTTTCTTTTTTTTTTTTTTTTAATGCATATCCGGTCTGGCCCATTTTTTTAACCGACTTTTTATGAGAATTTTGCAAATCCGATTTCACAACCGTGAGGGAGGAAAGATTTTAAATAATAAAAATCAATTCACATTTAAGTAATAAATAGGTGTCGCGGTTAGTTACGGTGACACCTTCTCCTCCTTTTATTTTATCCTGCTGTTTTATATTCGTAACAGGGGGGGGGGCGTCACGCACAAAAAAAAAAAAAAAATTTCCACGGCGCCGTTTCAACGGATTATTAACGAAAAAAAAGATGGCGGAAGTATATTATGTTTCGATTAGGTTTTATCGCGATAACATTGAATTAACTTAAATTATTATTTATTATTTCGTTATATTTACTAATAATTACAATTAATTAATGAAAAATTAGTAAAGTTTTTAGTAAAAAGAAAACGGAAATTTTATTTTAAATGGGTCATTTTTAAATTTGAAAAAATTTTTTTTAACGGATTTTAAGTTGGGAAAATTTGCGACGTTAGCGACGCGTACATTGTTAATGCATATATTATATATTAATATATAAACAACTGTTTTTAAAATTATTCGACAGATGGCAGTAAAAAAAAATTTATTTTATTTATTTTTATTTTTTTTAAAATGGCGGTTATTTATTTATTTATTTTTTCCTTTTAATAAAAAAAACAAATAAGTTAAACGGTATTATAATTTTAAATAATAATTTTATATTAAGAAAACAAAAAAAAAAAAAAAAAAAAAAAACTTACAAACATTTTACAAAAAAAAACAAAATGATTTAAATTATTTAAAACGATAATAACAGTTTCAAATTTTTTTTTTTTTTTTTTTTTTTTTTTTTTAATTTTTTAAATCGTTTTTCAAACATGATAAACGTTCGTTTAATTTTTTTTATATAAATCATTCATTCATTCAATCATTCACCCCTTCGCTTATTCATTCGCTCATACATTCATTTATTCATTCATTCATTCGATCTCAATATTCATTCATTCTTCGTAGAAAATAATTTTTTTTTATAGATAAATTAATTTTTAAATTTATATTATTAAAATATTTTATAAAAAATAAATTTTAATTTTGTTATTATTATTATTATTTTGGTAAAAATTTAAAAAACCAACGCGCGCACGCGCGCGCGCGTTTTTTTTTTAAATTTAAATTCGTTTATGACTACCGATTAAAAAAAAAAAAAAAAGAAAGAGTTATTATTATTATTTTATCGATCAAAACGATCCAATTCGTTTTTTTATAAACACTTAAATAAACTAATAAATTTTCATATTCGTTTAATAAAAAAAGTAATAATAATGACGATAATAATAATAATTAATAAATATTTTTTTTTAAATTAATGAAATTATTATTAATAATATTAATATAAAACAGAATTTCGATGGTTTTGTCATCCGTGAATGATGTTTTATTATTATTATTATTATTATTATTATTATTATTATTATTATTATTATTATTATTATTATTATTATTATTATTATTATTATCATTATTATTACTATAACTTCACATTACGCGTCGCTTTTTTAGTGCGAGTAAAGCCCATACGTGTGTGTGTGTGTGTGTGCGTGTGCGTGTGCGTGTGTATATATAGCACTTCATCACGTTCCAAACACAAACTATTTGTCTCGACTATTCATTGAATGTTTTTTTTTAAGTTTTTTATGTTGGTAGCATCCTACAGCTTTCGTTTACGTGGGGGGGTAAGACGCTTAATGTTAAAATTGATTATTATAAATATATCCCGGGGGATCGGGGGAAATCATTTTCCAAAAAAAAAAAAAAAATTATTTTTTTAAATAAATAATTTAAATTTGTCGTCAATATCTTTTGTGTTGAGGAGTCGATCTCGGGGGACCCTGTTGTCTCCAATCATCTTTCGAATTCGAATGTTGATTATGCTGATGATGATGATGATGATGGTGATGATGTCTTTTTTTATCGACGAATCCGGATGGTTTGACGGAAGTCACTTCGTTGACGACGATTTCGCTTCCGTCTCTCATGCCGTCGCTCATTCTACGTCCCTTCGACGAATATGCCATCGTGTCGTTCGTAGGTTCTTTACGTCTGTAATTGGGTTTCGCACCTCCTTTTCCACTCGTCGTCGTCGAGTGTAAATTTTCCCAAGCTTGCCTATAGTAACGATTTAATCCTCCGTGACTTTCGGAACTCGAAGAATCGTAGGATGCTACGGTGTTGCAATCGGGAGAAGCACGGTGGCGATAATGAGTAGTGGCACTACGATTTCTGTAAAAATAATTGTCGTGTCATTAGATATTTTTTATATAATTAAAACCATCATTTCGAATCATGACATTTTTAGTAAAACATGCGCGAGTAGCATCTCCGTCATTTTATCCTTTAATTCCATTGCGTTGAGCGGGAAAAAAAAATTTAAACGTATCGAAATTTTTCGTATTATTATTATTATTAATATTATTATTATTATTGTTTTAATAAAGAAAACGAAGCGTTATAAATAAAAAAAAAAAAGATCAACGCAAGAGTTATTAAAGGATAGAATGATATGTTGTAAGAGAGACAGCACAAAAGATTTTTTTTTTTTTTTGTCGACTTCTCTTTGTCTACATCTAGCCAAAACAAGGAAAATGTCACGAATGACAGATAAAATATAAGTAAAAAAAAAGTACCTTTTGTTTGTTTGTTTGTTTGTTTATGTAATTATAATTAATAATTAGGCATATTAATCGATTCAAATCGGATTGGAGAAATAGCCCGCGTGGTTACGATAACCCCTAGAGAACTCCCTTCTTCCTATTTGCTGATCGGGAAACGGCAATGCGAGGAGGGTGTACCACCTCGAAGGCATGGTTTGAGCGGGAGGGACCTTGCGTTTCCGGGCTCTTCTGCCGCTGGAAAAATAATACGAAGAAACCATCGATTTCCCTGCTGTCACTTTTTTTTTTTTTTTTTTTTTTTTCTAAACTAATACATATATATAAATCTTTTCTTTTCTTTTTTCTCGTGCTTTTCTTTTGCGGGCTCGCGGTGCAGAAAAAACCGGAAGGTGAAATTTTTTTTTTGGAATTGGTAGGGTCGAGGTGAGGTAACCTAATCGTTTTTTATCTGCTGTTGTGTGTCTTTGTTGTTGATCGTGATAAGGTTAGCGTGCCATGCGTAGCGATTCGTTATTAAGTAAAAAAAAAATTTATTTATCCGTCACCAAATTATTATTATTATTATTACTATTATTTATAATATTTTTCAAAAGGTTTTTTTTGTTTGTTAGTTGTTGTACTTTTCGAATGAATGAATGAATGATTTATTATTAAGAGCGTAATAAAATAAAAGCAAATTCGATTCGTGAATGAATTACAAAAAAAAAAAAAAATTTTCTTTAGTTTACCTTCTTATTAGTATGACGATTGTTGTTACCACGGCTGCTAAGAAAACGAATCCACCGAAAACTCCTAATGATATGATGGCACCTGAAAATTTAACGCAAGTTAAGTTTAAGAGCGAAAATTTAAAACAAAAGGAAAAATGGTGATAATAATTGAAGTTTACCTAAATTAAGTCTAGCACCCGCGGTTTCTCTCCTGTCTTCTTCTACCGATGATGGAATGTTAACGTTCGATTGTACATCGGAACGAATGTTGACACTGTCTGGAATTTCGTTCTCTTGAGGATGACCAGCGGTCACGTGAGGATTATTTTTCGTTTCAGAAGGTTTCGTTGATGATGTTCTGAGAGTTGGGGAAAAGTGTGATTTTTCGGTGGTTACGAAAGTACCCGACGTCGGTATTTTAGTAGGCCTTCGAACAATACCCTCGTATTCCCGATCCGTTTTAGGAGGTTGAGAAAGAGGAGGTTGAGTTGCGAGCGGAAGTCGAGGAGGTCTCACGGTCGCTTTTGATGTTGGTTTATTGGGTACGCCGACGATTCCGATCGGTCTCGTAGATTCTTCTTTACAACTCGGTGGCGGTTTGTCGTATTGACCGATGGGTAAACAAACAATTTTTTTCGATCCCACGAGTTTGAATTTTCTCGAATTGCAAGAATATTCGACGACCGTGCCGGCGATGGATATGTTATTGCTCATGAAAAATTCTCCGTTTTCGATTTCCGGCGGTGGTTCGCAAAGTATGGGTTCGCAACGCGGAGGAGGACCGTTCCACCTTTCGTCTATGTCGCATACGAGACGAGCTCTGCCGACCATGTCATATCCTTCGTCGCAAGCGTATAAAACGTGACTTAAATAACTTACGGTTCCGTTTAAAAGTTTATAACCGCCATTGTTTATTCCAGCGGGAAATCCACACGTCACTCCTATTTATAAAAAAAAAAAAAAATGCAATTATGTAATTTAATTATCTGGTAATAATTAAGTGGTGGTAGTCTTTGTTTAATTACGGGAAAAGTCTTGTGAATAATTTCCTTTTCATTCTTAATGATTTTCTCAAAAAAAAAAAAAAAAAAAAAAAAAAAAACAAACTCACTTTTACAAACAGGCGGAAATTCATTGTAAAATCCTGTCGGAAGACAAAGACGTGATGCAGGACCGATTAAAAGATGTCCTTCGTCGCATTCGTAGTCTACCGTTGCACCGACATTAAAATTCTTTGCGACCATTGTTGAATTAGGTGGTTGTTCAGGTTTACCACAAGATTTCGGTTCTGGAAAATTAAATGATGTTACTCAAAATCGAAAAAAAAAAAGATTTTGTCGTTAAATATTTTTGGTTTTACTCACGATGTTGGCAAATAAAATTAAGATTCGCATTACAGTTGGTATCTGACCAGAGCCAACCCTTGGAACCATCGTAACGAGCACAATCTTCGTTTCCTCCGGGTAAATTCCAAAAAGAAACGGTGACGTCTTCTCCGTCGAGCCATTTCCAATTGCTCCGATCTTGTGGATCTCTAACAGCACCCATCCAATACTGACTACTGGTATCACTCCTATGACGTCTCCATAATTCCCAACTTATAAATCCTTGTAAGGCAGGATTACTTTCGTCGACTAGAGTGCCGCTTCTGCTTCGGCAGAAATTTAAAGCATCGCGGAAATTAAGGGGTTGACGATTGTAAAAAATGTAACATTTTCCATTGTAAGTCGCCGTACTACCGGGTGGTTGATCTCTAAATTGAGGACAACGTTCGATCGGTAATGCCTGCCAAAAAAAAAATTTTTAAACAACTTCCTTAATTCCAACAAGGAGTTGAGTATATAGCCAAGTCATCTTATACCTGATCGGTGTATACGAACGCTTCACAAATGGACAACTGACTTGCCGTGGGACCCTCTAAATGAACGCTGACGAATGCACCGGGCATTGGCGGATTACACGGAAGGAACAATGGTTTTCCTTCTTCCAAGTGACCGGTAAATCTATTACATATGGGATTCGTACCAAGATCGGGCCGATTGTTACCAACTCTCACCACAATCGTTGCCGGTTGATTTTTACCTGTAAGGAGAACATCAACACGATTTGTTTTTCTCTTTTTCATGGAAGGAATTTTTAATGGAGTACAAACACGACACCATAAACACCTTCGGATGTTTTATACTCTTTACGCAACAAGAGTGGGAGGGGAAAAAAAATTCCAGCAAATTACTGGAAATCCGGAAAAGATATTTTTCATCATTGCCGTGCCACGATTTTAAAGTAAAACGACAAAAAAAGAAAAAAATTACGAAAAATTTCGTATGGCCCGTGGTTTTACTTTCATTTATTATTAAATGAGGGATGCATGGTGGATTACATAAAACAAACAAACAACGCACGTTATGAAGTTTTTCCAAAGGGTATAATTATTTACAGCAAACGAAATGTTGTCTTCTGATAACTTCCAAAAATCTTTTTAAATCCAAAGTTTTTTTTTATCGCGCGTTTTTTAAATTCGATCGATTTCGATGGATTCATTCTTAAGCAATTTTCCAAGAGTAGGAAAATTGATGATGACGTGTACATGCAATCGAAAAAAAAAAAATTCGATTTCTTATCTTTTCGAATGTTTCGATAACGACGATTATTACTCACGTACGAAAAAAAAAAAATTTTTCGCTACGTCTTTTTTTTTTTAAAATTTAGGTTAATCTTTATAAGTTAAAGAGATTGTTACTAATTACGGATGATGATGGTAATAATGATAATAATAATGATAATAATTAGTGTAAAAGATTAATTTGAAAAAATTTTTCGTATCGGTGTATCCGTAAAAAAAAAAAAATAACATGACTTTTTCTTCTTCTTCTTTACAAGAAACGTTGTAGAAATTTTAATTTTCGAAGGATGGGAATTTACACGAACGGATTTTCTTCTTCTTCTTCTTTTTCTTCTCAGGAAAAATCCAAAAAAAAATTAATAATAATAATAATAATAACGAATTAAACGCGTAGTTAAAAAAAAACGTTTAACGAAGCAGATTCGATCGTTATAATCAAATCGTACTTTATTATTTTATTAAAGAAAAATAAAAAAAATTATTATTACGGGTCAAAAGGTCAAAAAGAAAATAATACCGAGTTCTCAATTTTTAAACGGTACCATTATTTATTATTAGGTTTAAAAAAAAGAAAAAAAAATCCGTTAATTCGGTAATAAAAAGGCGCAAATTGAAAACCTTTCCCCCCTCGCTCGCTCCCATATAAAAAAAAAACGGTTTATATTAATAAGGTAAATTAATAATTAGTGATAAACCACTAATTACAAAGTGAAATCATTCGTTTCATTATTATTATTATTATTATTATTATTATTATTATTATTATTATTATTATTATTATCGACGTACCATTGAAAAAAAGAAAAAAAAATTACTCGTATCTAAATTATTAAGAGTAATAATAATATTCCGCAGTTTGTATACCGGAATGATTTAAAATATTCATTAATTTATTAATAATTTAACTTGCATCATTTATTATTATTATTATCATTATCATTATTATTATTATTATTATTCTCAATCGGAAGATTCTAATGGGACGGTTCGCGTAACGGTTTTTTTTTTTTTTTTAACATCATTGAAAAAATTAATTCATTAAATTAAAAAAGAAAAAAATTTTTTTTTACTACTCTAACTACGGTAGTTATATTTTGTTTTGTTTCGTTTGTTTGTTTGGGTTTTTACCGTCTTTTGCTTTTTCATTTTTCTCATTTATTGTTTATATTGATCAATTATCGATTTGCCACCGCGTTATCGTTCGTTTTTTTTTTTTACTGATTTGAATTCGATGATGAATACGAAAATGTTGTGATAATTTCATACCGTTTGTTTCGAATTAAATATTTTGCGTTAAGTTGGCATCACTGATTTAGAAAAGTTGGCATCAATGATTTAGAGAAGTTGTTACTCGAGTATTGGTTTTAAAGAGGAAAAAAAAACGGAAAACATAAAATGGCGACGATGGATCGACTTTAAAAATAATTAACGGTTAAATTGCGTGCGTAAAAATTTGCATATTCAAATATTCATAATAATAATAATAATAATAATAATAATGATGATGATGAAAATAATAATGATAATGATGGTATTTTTGCGACGGTAAATAATTAAAATTATTGCGTTTATCATTATTAATATTATTAATAGTTAATTTTTACCTTCCTGGTAATTTCTTTGGTCTATTAAATAATATTTTTGGTTTTAATGAATGAATGAATGATTGATTGAATGAACGAATGAATGAATTAATGATTAAAAATAAATAAAATTAACGACGACGTTTCGCGTAATATTATTATCATTATTTAGAAAGTTACGCGCGTATTATTTTTATTATTATTATTATTACGTGGTAAATTTAAAAGAAAAGAAAAAAAAAATTTTTTTTTTCTCGGAATTTTACGAAATTATTATTATTATTATCGAAAGGAAAAATGGGGAGGTGGTAATGAATGAAAGGTCATTAACCTGTAATAAGTTACAAAAACTTTCGATCGAATTCTATCTGGAGGGTGTGAGATGACGACGACATAATAACCGGAAATTGAATTTTTTTTTAAAAAGTGGAAAAAACGGTTTTTGTGTTGGAAAACTTGATAATATTTGCCCCCCAAAAAAAAATTTTTAACTCGATATATTTTATTTGGTTTTTCCATAATTAAAAAAGAATTTTTTTTTGTAATGAAAGGGGGGGCAGAACGTGAAACTGGAAATAATAACTGGAAAATTAATGTGGAACGTTAAAGATTAAAAAAAAAAAACTTGTCGATTTTAATAAAACGATTGAATTTTGTTTGTTTGTTTACTCACCGCAGCAACGTTTTCCAAAATCTAATCGTACCAACTGAACCATGTAAGGTTCGAGAAGGTTGACGTACCACCATGGTGATCTTTCCGGTCTCGTTAACGTGCATGTGTCTAAATTGAAAAAAGCACTCGTGCTACCGTCTATGGCTTTTTGTGGTATTCCATCTTGTTCCGTGCTTATTTGCATTGGTGCTTTTCCAGCGGCTACGTTTAAAACTGTAAATAAATAAATAAATAAATAAAAATTTCATGAGTTGGCGAAAAAACTGGAAAAGTTTTTATAAATTATTTTAAATAAAAAGGGGGAGGGGGTAAATAATTATTTGTCTCTGACGGAAGTTTTTTTTATCGTTAATCGAACAAAAACTGGAGAAAGCGAACGTGAGTCACGTTTGTGTCGTCCGTACAAGGGAAACACATTTATTTAAAAAGTAAAAAATATGTAAATTTTCTATCTCTCTCTCACTCTCTCTCACTCTTTTTCTCTGGAGGGAAATTCCATGATGTACGTTTCAAAAATTTTTCATATTTGAAAAAAAAAAAAAAATCACGTGATTTGCATTATTAATTTTTTCTCTTTTTGCGACGAAAATTTTTTTTTAAAGGTACCAAAATTAAAATTTTTTCTTATTTTTTTTTTTAAACGTTCGGTGACGTTCGTCTACGTTCGGTCACGTTCGATCAGTTTAAAATATTACGTTCGAATCGTCGAAAATTCAGGGAAGGAAAAATTAAAAAAAAAAATTTTTTTAATTTTTTTTCTTATTAAAACTTTCACTTCGTTATAAACTACGTCACATTTTGTTTATATCGAAACGTTATTATAAATTTCCATGCCACAATTTAAATCCGTTAAAAATAATGATAATGATGATGATAATAATGATAATAATAATAATGATAATAATTGTTTGTAAAAAAAAATTTTTTTTTTTTTTTTATTTCAAATCGGATTTTTATTTTTTTGCGGTTTTATCCGTCTTAATCAATTTTTTTTTTTCATCACCGTCGGAAAATTACAAGTCTTCGATCGATCGATCGAACGATCGATATAATCGATAAAATCGATTGAATGATTATTAAAATCGAATTATTTTATTATTATTTTTTTTTATATTTAAACCGAAGTGAAATTTAATTTGATAATTTTTATATAAGAAAAAAAAAAATGTAATTAATTAATGATATTCGTTATTATTTTAATCTTTTGTGTGTTAAAATTATTAATTTGTTTGTTTGTTTGTTGACAAACGCGTTGGGGAGGAGAGAGAGAGAGGGAGGGGGTGGTAAGAAATTATAAAGGTGGGATGATGATAAAAGTTTAAGTTGACGTAAAAAAATTTTGTTTTGGACGTTTTTGGGTCGATAATTTGCCAATGTGTCATGGAATCAAATAAGTCGGCTAGAAGAGAGAGAGAAAGACAGAATGAATGAATGAATGAATGAATGAGAGAACGAGAAAGAGAGAGAGAGAGAATGAGAGAATGAAAGAGCAAGAGAGAGAAAGAAAGAAAGAAAGAAAGAAAGAAAGAAAGAGGGAAAAAAAAAGAAAAAATTTTACGTTAAAAAAAGTTTCCGCTTTTCTACCAGAAAATAAATAAATAAATAATATGAATGAATGAATGAATGAATAAGTGAAAGAATTTTTCTAAAAATTTTTTATATTTATAAAAATTCGGGTCGTTGATTTTTATTTTTGTTATAAATATTACATTATGATTTACATGTAAACAATTAGTCACGGGTATTTCATTGTTTGCAGGAAAGACAAAACAAGATTTTTTTTTTTTTTTATAAATTAAAAATTCCGATACGCCTCTTTCGTGCCCTTCCCCTATCCCCCTCATACTCGCACACACATCCCCCGATAAACGGAAAAATTTGTACTGAAATTACAATAAAAAAAAATTTCGACAGAAGCAACAACAACAAACGAACGAAACAATTTTCGAATTCGGATGTTGTCTCTAATTTTTTTTTTTTTTTTTTTTTCCGTACTAATCATCCAATCAAAGAACGATTTCAATTTGAAAGTTTTAAAATTTGGCGCGAAATTATTTCATTGGCTAAAAAATAAAAGTCGGACAAATTCTAATAAAAAATGAAAAATAATAATAATAATAATAAATTTACAACAACGTTTTTTTAACTTTTTCTTTGCGAAACTTCTGATGAAAAATGTTGTTATCACTTTATTTATTTATTTTGTCTCTTATCACTCGATCTATATATAAATAATAATAATAATAATAATAATAATAATAATAATAATAATAATAATAATAATAATAACTCTCAGGATAATTTATTTAAAAAAAAGAAAAGAAAAGGTCATTTTTTATTTATTTATTTATTAGATTAATAAGTTAGTTACTCAAATTGCAAGTTTTTATTTTCTTATCTATTAAGGTACATACGTACGTACTTTGTGATGACTGATATTAAATTTTACCGTTACCGACATTTTTTTTTTTTTTTTTTTTGATGCCACGTTTTTTTTTTTTTCTTTTCAAATTCACGGAAAAAAAAATTTGTTTAAAAATGAAAATCAATTTTAACGATCGTTTGTAGTGATAATAATAATAATAATAATAATAATAATAATAATAATAATAATAATCGGCGGTTGTAATTACAACAAACGGTTGCGTAATTTTTTTTTGTGTAAATTTTTCCATTAAAAAAAAAAAAGAAAAAAAATTATTATGCGTGTACATATTTTTGAAAATTACTATTTTTCTAATGGTACGTTCGTTCGATCGTATGATGATGATAATCTATCACGTGATTTTGAAATTTTAAGTAATGATGATGATGATTGTAAATAATTAAACGTTGCAAAAAGATAAATTTAAAATTTTTTTTTTTTTTACTTTCTAATGTAATAAATAATAAATTAAAACGCGCGCATTTAATTATATTAAAATTATTTTCACGGCCTTCTGAGAAATTTTTATTTTTTCATTTTTTGGCGCGAACGCGAACGCGGGAAATTTGAATTTTAAATTTATTTAACGTTCGATTATAAATTTGTTTTTTTTTTAAAACGAAAAAAAAGGTAAATAAGTTTGTGCGATTTGTATTGAATTTTTTTTTTTTTTTTAAATTTTAACTTTTGACGTGTCACAATATCAACAATAACAACAGCAACAACCACAACAATAACAAAAAACAATAACAACCACAACAAAAAGCAATAATAACCACAACAAAAAATTTTTTTTTAAAGATCGTTCTAAATTTAAGAAAAGTTAAAATCATCATCATCACCATTCTCATTCTCATCATCACCATCGTTATTATTATTATTATTATTATTAATATTATTATTATTATTGTTATTATTATTATTATTATTATTATTAATATTATTATTCGTAGCGAGTATTTTATGTGTTCACCTGCTGACACGTATTTCAATTACAAATGACAGATATATGTTGAACGCGTTTTACAAAAAAAAAAAAAAAAAAAAAAATTTTTTTATTGTTGTTGTTATTATTATTATTTATAAAAAAAAATTTTCGACCGCCATTTTTTTTTTTTTTGAAAAGTATAAATTAATGAAACCATAAAAAGGATTTTATCGTTACCTTTGAGTGAGTACCTTTGAATACCTTTCGTTACGATAATCGCGTAACTAAACCACCCAAAAAATTTAACCTAAAAACCAAAATAAAATAAAAATACTGAAGTTTGAGTTCTGCGTTTGTTTTTTAACAAACGCACACACACGCACGTCACGTGATTTTATATGATGGTAGTAGTAAAATTTCCACGTTTAAAAAAAAATATAAATTTATTCATTTAATTATTGTATAGGGAGGGTCAAAAGGTCTTTACATTGAAAAATTTTTTTTAACGGTAATTAATTAATTAATTAATAAAAGGAAAAAGAAGAAGAACAACAACAAACGACAGCGTAACAAGTCGAAACAAACAATAAATTGTTGTTGTTGTTATTTATTTTGTTTGTAATCGTCCGAGTAATTAATTAAAAAAAAAATGAGAATGAGAATGAATGATTGTTGTATCGTGCAATCGTTTGTATGTGCAACTAGACAACAAACGAAAGTCGGAGAAAATTATTATTAAAAAATTTTTATTTTAAACGAATGAGACCGTAATTAATTTTTTCTTTCTGACATCTGCGACAATGACAAAGACAACGACGACAACAACAACAACAACAACAACCACAACAACAAAACATAATCATCATCAGTTTTAATTACGTGAAAAAAAGTAATTTTTTTTTTTTTTTAATTTCGTCTTTTTGTTTGTCTTTTTTCGAGAACGCGCGTATTTTTTTTTGCCGAATTTTTTCGTTTAAAAATTACTATTATTATTTTTATTGTTTTAAATAGCAACGAAAGGAAATTTTTTTTTTTTTTTTTTTTTGCAAATGACTTTTGCCCTAAGGTACCAAAAAAAAAAAATAGTAATCGAAAGTACGAGAAAGGTTTAATGCCACGACGACAACAACTTTTCATGACGAAGTGAAATTTTTAATTTATTTTTTTCCATATGGATTTAAATTTAAAACGTTTAAAAAAAAAACGCGTGTTTTTGAAACAAAAAAAAAAAAACGCTCGCGTTTTTTTTACTCAAGAGTGAAATTTTACTTTTTTTTAATTAAAATTTTTAAATTTTAATTAAGAGAGTAAAGGGAAAAATGACGAAAATTAAAAAGTTGACTATCGAGTATTGACGATTTCTACCGTCCTCGCCAACAACAACAACAAACAAACAAACAACAACAAAAACAACAAGCAACAACAACAATCGTTTGAAAAAATCACATTTTTTTTTTTTTTTTTTTAAACAAACGTTTCACTTTGACCGGAAATGAAATTAAACACGACGGTTGGTTGTTTTCCATTAACGAAAAAAAAATTTATTAATTTTATTATTTATAATTAATGAATGATAGTTTGATAATAATAATAAACGATTAATTTATTAAAGAAAGAAGGAAAACAAAACAAAAAAAAATTTTTTTTTTCGTTACCTGATTTTTAAAACCGTTATCGTTAATGGTTTTGATGATGATATATATACGGAATATCTCGTTTGACCGGATGTAAATACTCATCGGATTATCCGGAATTTTCCGGGGTTTGTTAATTAAAAAAAAAAAAAAAAAAAAAAAAAAACAAATTTTATTCGTTTAACTGTTAATAAATA